TCCAGGCTCAGGCCCACGACCCCGCCTCAGCCCCAGGCTGCCCTTCCCAGGACCCCAGGCGAGGCCGCCCCGCGCTCCTGCCAGGGGGTCCCCAGCCGGACAGGGCCCGGGCTCTGCCGCCAACCGGGCCCTGTTCCACCCCAGACGCTGGGGAGCCCGCCCCCGTCTGGCAAAGCCCCGGCCCCTGAAGTCTCGCCCTTCTGCTGGTGGAACTACGGCCCCTCCATCCTTCTGCGGACAGTCCTAGGAGGCTGGATGACAGGCATCTCTGTCCCCAGCCCCACCGGGCGGTGGCCGGGAAGGGGCGCCGAATGGAGCTGGGGAAGGCCCTGCATCGACCGCCATCCTAAGCGCCCCACCAGTGCCCTTGTCTGTGCCCTCTGGAATTCCCAGTGTGTTCTGTGGGCGCTGCACACGCAGCTCTGGGGAGGTGCATTAGGAACCAGCTCCCTGAAACACCTTAGGAGTTTCTAGAATCCTGGGATGAGAGGATGAAAACGTCTCCTGCGTGAACACAGCCAGGCGGAAGTGAGTGCCGAGCAAGGCAAATAAACCTGTATCCAGCGATCGAGGGGGCACTGGGTGTTGGGGCACCGGGACGAGGCAAGGGTGTGCCCTCGTCCCGGGAGGCCGGGGCCCGTGCCGAGGCTGGGCTTGGCATCTCTGGGCCGGGTGATCTCCACCCACGGGTGGGCGTCGGGACACCCCCTGTGAGCAACACGAGAAACTCCTGCCCCCCTCACCCAGACAGCCTCCAAAGGGTCCACGCCATCAGGGACATGTGCGGCAGCTGCTCTAGCAGCAGGATGCTGTTCCAGAGGCAGCCTCGAGTGCAGTGGGGGTGGTCCAGGATGCCCCAGGAACGCGGGTTCCCGCTGAGCCTGGGCAGGGTGCGCCTGCGATGTGTGTGATCAGGGAGCCAGGGAAGAACCAGTGCAGAAGGCTGGCGTGAGGCTTCGGGCCACAAGGGCATTCTTCTTCCAGACGGACCTGGGTGTGCACACACACTCTGGCCCTCCACCCACAAAAAGCCCCCAGTCAAGGTTCTTCAGGCCCGTGGCTGGGCTGCAGAGAAGATCAGTACAACAGATCCGTGATGTCAGTGACGCAGTCTCCAAGGACGGTCTTCTCCCATTCCAACAGCTGATTCACCAAGCCCTGATTTGGACACATGTTGTTTTTGCACTTCTTGACATAGGTCCAGGACCTCTACAAATGCCAAGAGAAAAGGCAGACTTCAGGACTGGTTCTGGGCCCTTTCCGCCTAGACCACAGCCAGCTCAGGAGGGACAGGAGGCACTGGCCCAAGGCCAGAAACGTGACTTAAGGGCTGAAACAGAACAGAGCACCCCAGGGTTAATTAGCTAGAGTCATAGGAGTTGGCTCTGCCTTGGGCAAGCCCTTTTGCACCTCTGCATCTAAATCTGGAGGGAAATAATTCCCACTTCAAACAGCTCCTGGGAAGACTGAGACAACATATATGAAACCCCATGTGGACAGGAAACCACTGTGCCAAGCCTGGCATACAATGTGGCCTCAACAAAGGTTTGCATTGTGACTGGATGAATTAATGGAAAAGAGAAGAGAACTGTGGACACATTCTCTGAAGAAGGAAAGTTGAAGCTGCCTTCTTTTGGCTTCCATCCTCAAGTGCAGAAAGAGTTATTATTACCCAAAGGAAGGTGAGCAGCTGGTCTTATCTGGATTGAGGACAAAGGAAAAGGCGACACGGTTCCTTGACAAACTAGGAATAGAAGGAAACTACCTCGACCTACTAAAGGCCGTATATGGGAAGCCCACAGCAGACATCATGCTCCACGGTGAGACCCTGAAAGTGCTTCCTCCAAGCTCAGGAGCAGAAGTGCCTGCTTTCGTCACTTCTATCTAACACAGTACTAGAAGTCCTAGCCAGAACAATTAGGCAAGAAAAAGAAATAAATGCCATCCAATCCAGGAAAACAGTTTGGCGATTCCTAAAAGATCTAAAAATTGACCTTCCATATGACCCCACCATCCCCCTTCTGGGAATATACCCAGAGGAACTCAAAGCACTCTCTGAAAAACATACCAGCATAGGCATGTTTATTGCAGCGTTGTTCACAAGAGCAAAAACATGGGACCAACTGTGCTGCCCATCAAAAGAGGACTGGATATTTTTTTAAAGTGGTATATATACACAATAGAATATTACACAGCCATAAAGAAGGACAAAATTATGAACTTCGCTACAACTTGGATGGACTTAAAGTCTACAATACTAAGTGATCTATCACAGAAACAAAGAACTGAGTACCACATGTTCTCACTCATAAGCAGACCTTGAACAATTATCAAAATACTATAAAAAAGGGAATGGCAGTAGTGGGAACCTGCCAGTGGGGGGGAAGGACACACCTCATCAACAAGGGTACCTGCATAATGAACATTTATATACCTAACCCTGAATTGTACTCCACATTTTAAAAATAGATTTAAAAAATTTTTAATCTTTAAAAAGAACAAAGTTGGAGGTCTCACACTTCCTGATTTCAAACCTTATTACAAAGCTACAGTAATTGAAACAGTTGGGTACTGCCATGATGACAAATAAATCAATGGAATAGAATAGACAACCCAGAAATAAACCCTTACATGTAGAGTCAAGTGATTTTCAACAGGGTGTCAAGACCATTCAATGGAAGAAAGGACAGTCTTTTCAACAAATGGTGCTGGTAAAACTAAGTATCTACAAGCAAAAGAATGAAATTGGAAACACGAAATCAACAGAGAAAAGTCAATGATACCAAAAGCTGGTTTTTAAAAAAAATCAATAAAATCAATAAACCTGAGCCAGGTTAACTAAGAAAAAGAAGATACAAATTACTGTTATTGGAAGTGAAAGAGGAGACATCACTACAGATCCCATGGACATTAAAAGGTTAATAAAAGAATACTGTGAACAATTCTATGCTCGCAAATTTAATAACACATTCCCGCAAAATTTGGTTGGCCGATTCCTTGAAAGATATAATCTGCTAATACTTACACAAGAAGAAATAGACAATCTAAATATGCCTATATCTATTAAAGAAAATTAATAACCTTCCAAAACAGAAAGCACCCCAGCTCAGATGGGTTCACTAGTGAATGCTACATATAATAAAATATTATTCAGCCTTAAAAAGGAAGGAAATTACATAAGGTACCTAGAGTAGTCAAATTCACAGAGATAGAAAATTTAGTGGCTACCAGGGGCTAATGGGTGGAATCGGGAGTTGTTTAACAGATAAGAGTTTCAGTTTTACAAGATGGAAAGATTTGGGAGACTACTTAACACTACTAAATAATAAATTTAAAAATAGTTTAAGATGGAGCTTGGTGGCTCAGCCTGTAATCCCAGCACTTTGGGAGGCCGAGGCAAGTGAATTGTCTGAGCTCGCGGATTCAAGACCAGCCCGGGCAACTCAATGAGACCTTATCTCTACAATAAATTAAAAAAAAATTAGCCAGGTATGGTAGCATGCACCTGTAGTTCTGGCTGCTTAGAAGGCTGAGGTGGAAGGATCGCCAGAGCCCAGGAGGTCAATGCTGGGGTGGCCGTGAGTGTGCCACTGCACTCCAGTCTGGGCGACAGAGTGAGACTCTAACTCAAAAAATAAAAATAGTTAAGATGATAAATTTTGTTATGTGTATTTTACTACAATTTTTTCTACATGATGTCCGGGCGCAGAGCAGTGCAGTTAAAAAGGTTTGCTAAGACCTGACTGGGTCAGAACAGGCCCTTGAGGAAGAAGCAGAAACCACATTCCCCACCCCTAGCCCACACATCTCCCTTCCAGAGTTGGGATTTTCACAGCCAACACAGCAGGTAGGAAGGACAGGTGCTATCAGCCTCATTCTAGCTACTGAGGGGACAGAAAGGTGAAAGGACATGCCCAGGTCACATGTGGTAGGGGGCACTGCCCAGCCCAGGCCCCATTCTCCAGACTGCAAGGCCAGAGTGCTCCCTGCCACTTTCGGGCCCTATGGAAAGCCAAGACTCTCCAGCCAAGCTGTCTGGCTTTGGGTTCCAGCTTTGCCATTTACAGTTCTAGGGCTGGGACAAATTACCCAGCCTCCTTATGCCTCCCGCAAAATGGGGATAATAGCAGCTATGCCACAGGGTTATTGTGAATATGTTTTTATTATACACAAATACTAAAATGGCCTGGCATGTAGGAAGCACTCGTCAACGTCAGTTACTATAGTATTTTGTGAGTTGTGCTTTTTTTTTTCTCTGAAGGTCTTTAGGGGACAAAGCTACTCCTAGAAGCTTAAAGATACTGAAATTGATTTCTTTCTTTTTTTTTTTTTTCTGAGTTGGAGTCTCACTCTTTCGCTCAGACTGGAGTGCAGTGGCCGCGCCCAGCCACCGCAGCCTCGACCCGCTGGGCTCCAGCGATCCTTCCGCCTCAGCCTTCCGAGTAGCTGGAACTACAGGCACGCGCTACCACGCCCGGCTCATTTTGATTTATTGTAGAGATGAGGTCTCACCGCCCAGGTGGGTCTCGAACCCACGGGCTCAGGCAATCCACTCACCTCAGCCTCCCATAGGCGCGGGATTACAGGCTGAGCCACCGAGCCCGGCTTGAAATAGATTTCTTAAGAGCCTGCTGGCTCCAGAACCCCACACAACCGTGTTCCCAAGCCCAGTGGCTCTGGGCGCCAGCGACTCTGGGCACCAGGTTCTTCCTGCCTCCCTCCCTGACCCCGCCTCCCACCCTTGGCCTTAGCACCTGAGAAGCTAGGCTGGGGCCCAGGAAGCAGTCCGCTGGGCCTGTGAGCCCCGCCCTTCTTTGCCAGTCTTGAGGTTCCTGATCATAACAGCAAAGCTGACAACAGCCAGAGGCATGGCATCCCCAAAGGGTGTATAGGGAGCCTGACTCCCAGGACCCCAGTACCACACAATGGAAAGCAGGAACATCTCCCGCAGAGGAGAGCCCAGGTCAACCAGTGTCAGCCATCCAGGGTACTGCCTGGTAGCAGGAAAAGTTAACTGCCACACGCGGCCCTGTGGGCTGCACCACGTTTTTGGCCAAGGGCTATTTAAATGGCATCTCTAGCCAGAGTGGCCAGGAACAAGTCGGACTTCCCTGCAGATGAGACAAAAATCGCTGCACCAGGAAGAAAACATCAGGGTCTCCTGAGAGCAGGATCACCTGGACCTCAGGCCAAGCACCTGCTACCCACTGACCCATTATGTGACTGGCTTGATTCACTTGGTATAACCATCTCAAGATTCATCCACTGTATGTATATATCATGTTTTACATACCCATTCACTTGTCCACAGACACTGGGTCATTTCTACCTCTTGGCTCTTGTGAGTAATGCTGCCATGAACGTAAGTGTGCAGATATCTGTTCAAGTCCGTGTCCACTTATTTGGGGCAAGCCCAGAAAGATGAGCTGTGCATCTCCCTGAAGGGCCAATAAAGCTTGAGTTGCCAAGCCTGCATGCACCCCAGCACCTTGAGGACCTGGGCCTGGCTGCTGGGGAGCTTAGAGGAGCTAAATGAGAGGCAGGCCCTCCTCACTTCGCTCTTGCCCCAGTCAGCCCTGGCAAGCAGTCTGTGACCTCTGCTTCGATGTGGTCAGAGAAAGGACTGTGGTTTGCTTGAAGAGCTAGAAAGCACATTAAATGTCAGAGTTGGAGGGCTCTGAAGACCTTTCTGTGCCCATCCTTCTCTGTGGAAACCAGGGATGACAGCAAGGCCCCAGAATGGCAGTACATGCAGGGCCTGGTGAAGGTCACTGGATTGGCCCCTTTCAAATTCCAGGGGGCTCAAGTCTTGGAACTCCCCAAGGACTCCGCAGGTGGGTGAGCTCTGCCTTTAGCCAGCTGGGGAGGGAGCCAGCTCATGTTCTACCAGCTCACAAGGCAGCACAGAGGCCCCTCCAAGGAGAGATTCCGAGGAAGGGGGCTCGAGAGTCATGTCTGCACAGTTCTCCCTCCCAAGCTTTATCAGTAACGTCACTCCCCCTCCCCAGTACATGCCAAAATATTCCTCAGGCAATGACCCCAGCAATGACCTGAAAATTCACCTTGGATGGGAAGAAAGAACAGAGATCCAGGCCTCACATCTTCAGACTTCAGGCCCTCAGAGTTTGCATCAGACCCTTTTTAATTGTGGCAAAGTATACATAACATGATATTTACCACTTAGCCATTTTAAACGTATAGTTCAGTGGCATTAAGCACATTAGTATTGCTGCACAATCATCACCACCATCCATCTCCGGAACTTTTGCATCTTCCCGCATTGAAACTGTCCCCATTAAATACTAACCCCCATTCCCCTCTTCCCCAGACTCTGGCACCCACCATTCTTTTTGTCTCTGTGAGTTTAATACTGTAGGTCCCTCATATGAATGGAATTATACAATATATGTCCTTCTGTGACTGGTTTGTTTCCCTTAGTATTACCACCTCAAGTTCATTCACATTGAAGCATGTGTCAGAATGTCTTCCTTTTTAAGGCTGAACAATTCCGCTGTATGCACATATCATGTTTTACGTATTCATTCACTTGTCCACAGACACTGGGTCATTTCTACCTTTTGGCTGTTGTGAGTGATGTTGCCATGAACATGAGTGTGCAAATATCTGTTCAAGTCCCGGCTTCCACTTATTTTGGACGTATACCCAGAAGTAGAATTGCTAGATACCCAAGGCTCTTTCTAGCCTGCGACTTCACCCCAAAAGAGTACACTGGGGCAACATCTAAAAACACTGAGCAATGGGCTCTGACCATGGTTATTCCTTGTCCTTCCCCTTCCTTCAAACACACCCCTGGGCAAATGTGGGGACTTTGCAGGTCCTACCCAAGCCTTCTGAGACCTTGAACACGCTGTGACTGGTGGCCCCCGAGGAAGCACTGCCTGGGAGCTGGAAGCCCTGAGTTTCACCCGGGTTTGCCGTGATGGCTCCCTGCTTCCCTTCCATCTCTGGACCCTGTGCTCAAGGTAAAGGGAAATCCTTGGAGCTGGGGGCTGCTGAAGCCCTGCATGTGCTGCAATTCTGGAATATCAAGCAGTTCTCCTTGGGCAACCCCAAACAAATGCTGGTGGACAGACTGACAGCAGTGGGGGCCACATGGATAGTATTGCAGCCTGCAGCCTGGTGTCACCTGAGTCCCTGGGCCAGCCCTGTGTGCCTCAAGCCTGCAACACTGGGAACTAGACCTTGGGCATCGTGGGCTAGGTAATGCCCCAGACTTGGAGCTCTCCTCCCTGACCCCTTCCCTTACCTCCCCCAATTAAGGTCCCAAAGCAGTGCTGGGGCTCTGTTCCTCCAAGATCCAGCTCTGATCCCACCTCCTTGGAGTAGCTATGGTCCAAGCCTTGCCCAGGGAATGCGTACCTTCAAGGTCTGCTCATAATAGTGCATGAGGTAGGCCACGACGGCCGCACAGCTGCGACTGATACCGCGAGTGGAAAAGATCAGAATGACAGAGCCAAGCTCAAGGTGAATTTCTGCAAAAAGAAGAGAGGGTGGGGGGAATCATTCATGGCTCTCCTTCCTGCAGGCCTGGGTTGCTGTTAGACACTGACTTCAGTGGGCCTGTGGCCCAAGGGTAAGTTCAGATCCAGCATGCATGCCCTAGGCGAGTCACATGACTTCTCCAGGACACTGTTTCACTGTCTGGCAAATGAGAGATTCTTAGACCTGGCTGGAAGTTCGAGAGACTCATGCCAGCACTTTCAGCCTGGACTTTTCCTGGCCTCTAGGCTTCCAGTTCAGGAAGCTTGCCTCCAATTTGCCTCTCAGGGATGACAGGATCATTCCCCAAGAACACTCAGGTGCAGATAGAGGCAGTGTAGCCTGGTTGCAAATCCTGGCCCTGCCACTCACTGGTTGCGGGGCTTGGGCAAATTACTTTAAGCCACCGCTTTCTCATCTGGAAAATGGGATAGCAGTATACCACTTACCCCATAGGGCCTGGTTTTGTTCTCTGCTTAGCCAAGTGCCTGACACGGAAATATCAGCATCATCACATAATCCCTGAGGCCATGAGTCTCATCCACTGGGGGTAGGGAAGGAAATCTAAGCCGGCAGGCTGGGCTGGTCTGGTAACCCTTAAGAACCAACAATAAATACCCAGTGCGAAATCACAGACTGTTAGAGCAGGAGGAGGACCCAGAGGTGATCAAGGCCAATTGCCTCATCATACAGGGAAGAAAACTGAGGCGCCGATCAATCAAGGGCTGGCCCAGAGTTCCCCAGTGAGGCGAAGCTGGAGAGGGGCCCTCTGGGCCGCAAGGCTCTGATGTCTCACAGTGGAACACATGGGAAGTCTCGGTCTCAGATCCCAGCCAAGCAACGGCTGTCACCTCCTGGACAAACAAGGCAGGCCTGGGCCAAGACGCCATGCCCCGGTCCCTCGGCAGCCCCTCGGGCTGGGGCTGTGCAGATGCCCGGCAGGCTCACAGAGTGCGGCCTCCCACCTGACTCCGCCGTGCTCTCTTTGGGGCGGGGGTCTTGCTCTCCTTAGGCAGTCCTGAGTCCTGGCAATGACTGCCAACTCCAGCCCCACAAGTTCAAGAACTGGGGGGCATCACTCATGCCTGGGGGGAGGGCAGAGGGGGACTGGGTGCACACATGGAGAATCGTGGGAGTCAGAGCCAAAAGGGCTTTGGAGTCTTCTACCCCCCCCCACCCTGCTGGTCGGGGCTGGGGGCTGGGATGGAGTGAGGGGCACCTCTGGTCCCCAGAGCCCAGCCAGAAGCAGGCCTCCGTGAGCGTGTGCACCCCTGATTAGCCAGCATCCTCATTTCACAACAGGCCCACAAGGCACAGCCATCTAGCTGGGCCAGAACACAGAACGCTCAGCCCACTATCTGGTACTTTTCTTGGGTCCCGTGCCCCAAGGTAAACATCATGGTTGCTCATGTCACTGAGGGCTCCTGAGAAGCCAGACCTATCCTGGGGCTCGTCCACACTGGCCAGGTATGTGTTGGGCTCGGAGCATGCGTGATCCCCATCAGGAACTGGCATGGAGAGGAGGTGCCATGGCCCTTCTGCTTTCTAGACACAGGCCGGTTGCTACTGGTCAGGGAACGCTCCTTACCTATGAAGTGACAGAGGTGGCGTAAGTAGGGAGAAATTTTGGCTTCTGGGGAATCTTCTATCGGGATGTGCAGAAGCTTGTCTGGGTCACCTGCAAAACTAAACAGAAGGACATTTGGGTAACTGGGCAGACGCGCACAGTCACACTGTCGTGTCCCTTGTCCACAGAGGCGGGACCACAGGGAAGAATGCTAGGCTAGCACCAAGAAGGGTAACGTGCACAAGTAACTGAACCATTCTCAGGGAAAAAGCAACTATCTCCAAAGGGTATGTACAGACCGAGGGAAGTGATCTATGTAAAGCGTTTAGCAGTTTGTTCGATAGATAGGACGATACATGTGGCAGTGTTATTACTGTTAACCAAAAACATGATACTTTCCTAGAATATGGTCTAGATAATCACACGAGGGTGGGAAAGCATATTTGATGACCTTGGAGAACGAGCTCGCTATGTCAAATGGGGAGAGCAAAAGCGATGGAGACGGTGGGGTGCTGTTGTAGATGGAACGATCAGGGAAGGATTTCTTGAAGAGCAGGGTCTACAGGAGGTGAGGGAACAAGCCAGGCGGCTATCTGGGGGGACAGCGTTCCAGGCAAAGGAGAACGCAAGTGCAAAGGTTCTGAGAGCCTGTGTGTTTAGCGTATTTCAGAAACAACAGGGAGGTCAGAATGGCCAGTGCTCTACGAGCAAGGGGAAGAGAAGAGCACAATGAGATGTAGGGCGTGGTTAATGAGAGGGTGCCTGCAAGGAGCTTGGCATAAGGTCTGGCATGCAGCCAACACTTGATAAATGTTATTTATGGAGACTGTGGTCTACTGGTGACATTCAGCCACACGCAGATCACTGCGGCATGCAGAAAGTTGCAGTAGATGAGAAAACAAAAACAGGCTGGTTTGTTTTCTCACGAGCACTTGCTGTGACAAATACAAGCATGAGTCTCCCATCCATCACTCCAACCCCACCCATCCATCTATCCGTCCATCCCTCTGTCCATCCCCATCCGTCTTCCATCTTTTCAGGCAGTCACTCAACGTCTCTGGTGTGCCAGACCTTGGGCTGGACCCTAGTGGACACAAGATGAATCATAGAAGGCTCCTCCCAAGCTTCTAGGAGGTTCCCAGTCTGACACATAGACAAATGCCCATGGTCCAATTGGCTAGAGGTTGGGATAAAAACCTACACACAATACTGGGGAGGAGCTGGGGAAAGTTCCACAATGAAGAAAGCACATGGAAGGAGGAGGTTGAAGGATACATGGCCAATATATAAAAATCAATTGGATTTCTAGCAACAGACAATCACAACTTGAAATTTTGCAGAAAACTATAACTACATCAAAAAAGGCAAAATATTCCTAGGAAGAAATCTGACACAAGATGTGCAAGATCTACTCATCTACTGTACACTGAAAACTAGAAAACATTGCTAAGAGAAATCAAAGACTGAAGGGAGCGATAGATCATAAACATTAATTGGGAGACTGAACATTGTTAAGATCTCAAGTCTCCCCAACTGACCTATCGATTCAACTCAGCCCCAATCAAGATTCCATCAGGCTTCTTTGTAGAAACTCTAGAGCCGATTCTAAAATTTATCTGGAAATGCAAAGGAAACAACTTTAGAAAAGAACAAGAAAAGTACCTGGTTTCAAGATTTATTATAAACTTACAGTAGTCAAAATGTGGAACTGGTGTCAAGACAAAGATCATAGAAAAGAATAAAGAATCTAGATATAGCCCCTTATACACAGTCAATTATCTTTTCAGCAAATGTTGCTGGAACAGTTGGCTATCCATATGCAAAACACTGAGCTTTGTTCCAGATCTGATACCACATACAAAACTATTTCAAAATGGATCACAAAGCATAAAAGTTAAAATTATCAATTTTTGCCAGGTGCAGTGGCTCATGCCTATATTCCCAGCACTTTGGGAAGCTGAGGTAAGAGGATTGCCAGAGCCCAGGGGTTCAAGACCAGCCTGGACAACTTGGCAAGACTTCATCTCTACAATAAATCAAAAAATTAGCCAGCCATGGTGCTGCATGCCTGTAGTTCCAGCTACTTGGAAGGCTGAGGTGGAAGGATTGCCTGAGTACAGCAGGTCAAAGCTGTGGTGGCTGGTGAGCGTGTCACTGCCCTCCAGCCTGGGTGACAGAGTAAGACTCAAACTCAAAAATATATATATGTAAATTTTTAGAAGAAAATGCTTGTCAAAATTCAAGTGTCTATACATGCATGAGTCTATGTTTGGACCCTATTCTGCTCCATTGTTTTATTTTTCTACCCTTGTACCAACATCACAATGCTTTACTTGCTGTAATTTTATTAAGTCTTGATATCTGGTAAAGCAAGTCTTCCTATTTGGTTTTCTTTGATATTCAGCTATTTTTTACTCTTTGTGTTTCCATATATGTTTTAGAATTACTATATAAATTTTCACAAACCTACTGGAACTTTATTGGCATCACACTGAATCTATAGACCAATTAGGCAAGAAATGACATCTTTACAAAATTGATTCTTCTAATCTAATCCATAACCATAGTATATCTCTCTACTTAGTCAGGCACTCTTTAATTACTCATACTAATGCTTTTTAATTTTCTGTGGAAAGATCTTACATATCTTTCATTACATACATTAATGTTTTCATAAATTGTATCTTTTAAAAATTTTATTTTCTGTTTCTCACTGGTATTGAGAAAAACAGATGATACTTGTATATAGCATTGATCTTGTATCCCGAAACCTTATTTACTAAGTTATTAATTTATATGCAGGTTGTTTTGGCTTTTCTGTGCATACAATTATACTGTCTGTACATATTGAAAGTTTTATTTTTTCCTTTTTGCTTCTGTTTTATTTATTTTTCTTGCCATATGTTACCAACTAAGGCCTCTAGTATAACGTTAAACAGGGATGGTGACAGTGGTGTCTTTGTCTTGTTCCTAATCTCATGGAAAAAGCATTCATCATTTCACCACATTAAGTGTAATGTTTGCTATAAAGATTTTTGTAGATTGTTTTCTTATTAGCTCAAGGAAGTTCCATTCTATTCCCAGTTTGCTAAGAGCTTTTTTTAAATGTCATGAATGTATAGTGAAAATTATCACGTTTTCACTACATCTATTGAGATAATCCTACTTTTTCCTCTATGTTATTGATATGGTAAATTACATGGGTTGATTTTTATCATTGTAATGAGCTCAATTTAGTCATCACATATTATTCTTTTTATATATCACTGTATTCAGTGTGCTAATAGTTTGTTTAGGATATTTACATCTATGTTCATGAAGAAAACTAGTCTAATTTTGCTACATTATAATGTCTTTTAAAGTTATTAAACTGGGCTCGGTGGCTCAGCCTGTAATCCCGCACCTTGGGAGGCTGAGGTGAGTGGATTGCCTGAGCCCGCGGGTTCAAGACCCGTCTGGGCAACTTGGTGAGACCTCATCTCTACAATAAATCAAAAAATTAGCCGGGCGTGGTAGCACACGCCTGTAGTTCCGGCTACTCGGAAGGCTGAGGCGGAAGGATCACCGGAGCCCAGAAGGTCGAGGCTGCGGTGGCCGGGAGCGACCACTGCACTCCAGTCTGGGCAACAGAGTGAGACTCCAACTCAAAAAAGAAAAAAAAAGTTAGTAAATCATGATTATACCGGTCTCATAAAACAAGCTGATAATTATTCCTCTTTATTATTCTTTAAAAAGAAAAAATGACATTAACTAATTAACATTGGCTTATTTCCTCCTTAAATATTAGGTAAAATTCATCACTGAAGCTATATAGACCTGGAGATTTCTCTATGGAATATTTATTAGTTGATACAAGTTAATTCTATATTTTGCCCAATATCAGTTTTGATAGGTATTATTTTTTAAATTTATTCATCTAAATTTTCATATTTGTCATGATAAAATTTTTATAATACTATCCCTCTTATAATTTTTTAATATCTGTAGAACATGTAGAGCCCTCTTTTACATACGAATATTTGTGCCATCTGTTTTGTTTTGTTTTGTTTTTTTGAGACGGGGTTTCACTCTGTCATCCAGGCTGGAGTGCAGTGGCAAAATCATGGCTCACTGCAGCTTCAAACCCCTGGCTTCAAGTGATCCTCCTGCCTCAGCCTTCTAAGTAGCTGAAACTACAGGTGCATGCCACAGTGCCTAGATAATTTTTCTCTTTTTGTAGAGACAGGGTCTCGCTTTGTTGCCCAGGCTATTTTCAAACTCCTGGCCTCAAGCATTCCTCCTGCCTCAACCTCTCAAAGTGCTGGGATTACAGGCATGAGCCACTACAACCAGCTCTTTTTTTCTTTGACAAGGATTTATCAATTTTATTAGTTTTTAAAAACTATTTTGATAGTCTTGTTTCTCTCTATTTTATGGTTTCTATATTAATAATCTGTTTTTATTATTTCTTTCTCCTTTATTGGAGATTAATTTTCTGTTCCTTTGATAATTTCTTGAGGTTAATACTTTGGTTGAGTTTTAGACTTTCTTCTTTTTTAATAGCTGCAGGTAAGGCTACAAATTCCCCTCTAAGCACAGTTCAGCTACATTCCACAAGTTTCAATATGTTGTATTTTCATTATCATGTAGTTGAAAAGTATTTTGTAATTTCTATTGTGAATTATGCTTTGATCCAAGCGCTATTCAGAAATTTATTTCTTAATTTATAAATTTCTAGGAATTTTCTAACAATAATTTTTAATATTGCCTTTGACATTAATTCCACAGTGGTTGAAAGTCCCCTGCATATTATTTCTAGCTCTTGAAATCTAATGAGTCTTGCTTTGTGGACCAGCATAGTGTCAACTCTATGTAAATTTAAAATGTAAGTATGGACTCAGCAGCTGCAGGGTGCCATTTTTCTGCATCTATTTTGAGGATAATTTTTCTATTCTAGTCTTTTAATATGGAGAATTTCACTAATTAGTTTTCTGATGTTAAGCCAACCTTGCATTCTTGGAACAAATATATGTGATCATGCAATATTTTCCTTTTTATATAACTTAGGGTTCAATTTGTCAAAATTTTGTTTAGAATTTTTGTACCTATGTTCATAAAATATCAGACTGTGGTTTTCCTT